TATGATTAATGGCATTGGTAAATTAAATTGGCACAATTCAATTAGGTTCTAAAGTTTTCTGAATTTTAATTAATTATGTGCTAATTGAATGCATGAAGGTTTTCATGTGAATGCTGAGTTCGAATTGTGGTTTCATTCAGTTTTATTGTTAATTACCGAATTGTTTGTTGATGTACTCTCTTAAAAATCCAGTGATAGAGTAGTCATTCTTCTTCTTAATTCTTGGATTGGAATTTCAATTTCTGTTCACTCTTCATTCTAAATTTTTTTCTTTTATAAACAAACCCCCTGTCTTATATACTCTCTAAATAGATTAATTCGTCCTTCTGATTCTTTGAGAGAAGACTCTAGTTGCTTACCTCATACTATAGTAATTAGGTTTATTTTGACCCGTGTGTGACCACATGTCAGATTGGCGCCATTGCCAGGGAATCACGAGCGTTTTTAACATATTTAGAGTGTTAATCTTCCTTATTTTGTTTTACGTTATGTGTGCAAAATTCTGGTTTGCAATTCTGGTTGTTGTTTTGAGGTATTTATTGTGAGTCTTATAGGTGGAAAACTTCACTACCAGTTCGACTTTGGAGTTTGAGGCTGAATTTTGGTGTCCAAATAGCACTCATCACACTGATCAACTTTGTCCAAAGGAGCTCCCGCAAATTCCTTCATCTGGTAGGTGTTTTTCTACAAAAGGGTAAAAAGGTAATTTTTCTGGCAACTAACTCGGATTGAGCTGAAACTTGGTCAGACATTGCAGAAAAATTCAAGGATCAATACCACAAAATTTATTAGGGACTAAATTGTGTGGTGCACCCCTAAAATTTCAAAATTCCATCGTTTAGACCACTTTTTCAATTTTTTTAATATTTTAGGATTTTTAAAAATAGTAAAAAAATTCTCAAAAATAGGAAATTTTATTTCTAGTACTGCTGTGGTGGTCCCATATTTTTTAAAAAAAAATTCATTGGTTTTATTTCTCTATTAGCATTCTGTCGGCATATTGTGTGTCCAACATTCTTATGTGTCTGATGTTGCATGACACGAGCTAACCTTGGTGAATTGCATCCTTTGAATCCTGAAATTGATAGGACATTTCATCATTTAAGTAGAACACATAAAAGGCTTTCTTTCACTAATATTCAACTTGATAATAGTGTAGGTTCTATTAGTAGTGTTAATTACTCTATTTTTGTGCACTCTGAGTCTGAGTCTGAGTCTTTGCATTCTGATTCCGAGGATATTATTAATATGGCTAACAGAACTTTGAAGGAACTTGCAGCACCTGATGTCAACTATCACGCTTTGGCAATTCAGTATCCAAATTTGGATGCAAACTTTGAGCTCAAATCAGGGTTGATACATCTGCTGCCCAAGTTTCATGGTTTAGCTGGGGAAGACCCTCACAAGCACTTGAAGGAATTCCATGTGGTGTGCTCAACCATGAAGCCACATGGAGTGGAGGAGGACCATATCAAGCTGAGGGCATTTCCTTTTTTTTTGGATGGATCTGCCAAGGATTGGTTGTACTACTTGCATCCTGGTTCCATCACAAGCTGGCAGGACATGAGGATGTTCTTGGAGAAGTTTTTCCCTGCCTCAAGAGCTGCTTCTATTAGGAAAGAAATTTGTGGCATAAGGCAGATTATTGGAGAGACTCTGCATGAGTATTGGGAGAGGTTCAAGAAATTATGTGCAAATTGTCCACACCATTAAATCTGCGACCAGCTCCTCATTCAATATTTTTACGAAGGTCTCATGCTAATGGACAGAAGTATGGTTGACGCTGCTTCTGGAGGGGTTTTGGTAGACAAAACTCCCACTGCAGCTCGTGAATTGATTGCAAATATGGCTGCCAATGCACAACAGTTTGGTACCCGAGCCATGGTGTCTACAAGAGGAGTGAATGAAGTGAAAACTTCTGATACAAACCAGCAAAGGATGGAGAACAGAATAGAAGAGTTGACAACTTTGGTGAGGCATTTGGCACTCGGTCAGACACAACAACCTCAACAGTCCATCCCAACAGCAGCAGCAGCAAGTATTTGTGGAATTTGCTGTGTACCAGGTCACGCAACAGATCAATGTCCACAGATGCAAGAAACCAAAGAAACAGTTGCTGGAATTTTTCCTGGAAAACCTTTCCAGCAACAAAGGAATTATAACCCCTTTTCCAATACATACAATCCCAGATGGAGAGATTACCCGAACTTGAGGTATGGTAATTCTAATAAGTTCTAGCAGCAACAACAACCTCAATATCAGTTCAGGCACCATGCTGTAGAACCAAACATGAGGCAGCAGTATTCACAGCAAGCTAAACTAGACCAACCACAAAGCAATAGCTTAGAACCAAGCCTAGCAGATTTGGTGAAGCAAATGGCAACCAGCAGTGTCCAGTTTCAGCAGAGAAAAAAAGCCAGCATCCAGAATCTGTAAACACAGATTGGTCAGCTGGCTACAACAGTAAATGAGCTGAAATCCCAAGGTTCTTGCAACCTTCCCTCCCAATCCGTGAGTAATCCAAGGAATATGACCTCCATCACTTTGAGAAGTGGCAAATAGCTTGAAGTTCCAGATTCTGTAGAACATTCCACTACAGCAGAAAAACCAAATTTTGCAGAGATAGATGTAGCTAAAGAGCAACCAGAGCCATCCAATAAGTGAGACAGTAGCCATTCTGAACCAAACATTCTGTGGCCTTTTCCAAATAGAGTGACTCAAAACAAGAAGATACTAGAGGCAGAAATGGACAAGGAGATCATGGAAACTTTTAGGAAAGTTGAAGTCAATATTCCACTCCTAGAAGCTATCAAACAGATCCCAAAGTATGCCAAGTTTCTCAAGGACTTGTGAACTCATAGAAGAAGGCTAAAGGGAAATGAAAAAGTGAGCATGGGCAGAAATGTTTCTGCCGTCATTCAGCAAAGCATTCCTCCAAAATGCAAGGATCCTGGGACTTTCACCATTCCATGCATCATAGGAAGCGAGCAATTCAGTCAAGCCATGTTGGACCTTGGAGCTTCAATCAATGTTATGCCTAAATCAGTCTACCAATCTTTGCACATTGGAAAGCTTAAGCCAACGGGAGTGGTGATCCAACTTGCCAACCAAAGCAAAGCACACCCTGAGGGAGTTTTAGAAGACGTGTTGGTAAGAGTAAATGATCTTATTTTTCCTGCTGATTTTTTTGTGCTAAACATGGAGGATGATATGCATGTTGATCAACCAACATTGATCTTAGGTAGGCCATTTTTGAAAACCGCTAAAACTAAGATTGATGTACACTCTGGTACTTTATCCACGGAATTTGGAGATAACAAGGTGCATTTTAAATTACATGATGCCATGAGATATCCACCAGAAGAGCATTTTGTGTTTCATTTAGATATCATTGATACAATGGTTGATGATATGCATGCGAATTTGTGTGCTGAGTTTCTTGAAATTGTAGGCATTAGAGATGACTTTCAATGTTCAGATTGTGATGGAATTCATGATTTATGTGCTGTTTGTGGAGAATTTAATGCATGCATATATGGTAAGAGTCTGCACAAAATTTTTCTGAGGAGTTACATGCTGATCCTGGAAGTTTAAGTTATAGAGTTATTAGAATAGATTCTGATTCTAGTTTTGCAGTAGTGGAAAATACTAATTGTGCACATTCTGATTATTCTGTGGGTTGTGCAAATAACTCTTATGTTGATCTTTCTGTTGTGGGATATGATAATGCTCTTGTGCAAGATTTTTCACACGTTGCAGGTACTGAGATTAAAAAAATAGAGCAAATTCCAAGATTAGCACCCTCCATACAAGAGCCACCCACCTTGGAGTTGAAGCCTTTGCCAGAAAACTTGAAGTATGCATTCTTGGCACCAGATGAGAAGCTACCAGTCATCATAGCCCAAGATTTGCAACTAGAACAAGAAGAGAAGTTGCTAAACATTCTGAGGCAGAACATAAATGCTTTAGGCTGGACACTGGCTGACATACCTAGGATTAGCCCCTCTACATGCATGCACATAACTCAGTTAGAGGAGGGAGTGAAACTAGTGAGGTAGCCTCAGAGGAGATTGAACCCTCTAATTCTGGATGTGGTCAAGAAAAATGTCAGCAAGCTTCTAGCTGCTGGCATCATTTACCCAATTTCAGACAACAAGTGGGTGAGCCCGGTGCAAGTGGTTCCAAAAAAGACTGGAATAACAGTAGTAAAGAACTCAAAGGATGAACTAGTTCCCACAAGAGTGCAGAATAGCTGGAGAGTCTGCATTGATTACAGGAAGCTGAACCAGGCTACCAGGAAGAACCACTTCCCATTGCCCTTTATTGATCAGATGCTAGAAAGATTGGTAGGTCAGTCACATTACTGTTTTCTTGATGGATTCTCTGGTTATTTTCAGATTTACATTGCACCTGAGGATCAAGAGAAGACAACCTTCACCTGTCCATTCGGTACATTTGCATACCGGAGAATGCCTTTTGGTCTATGCAATGCCCCAGGTACATTTCAGAGATGCATAGTGAGCATTTTTTCTGATTTTCTAAAGAATTGCATGGAAGTCCTCATGGATGCTTTTACTATTTATAGTACCTCATTTGATGCATGCTTGGATAGCCTTGCTAGGGTATTGCATAGATGTGTTGAATCTCACCTTGTTTTGAGTTATGAAAAGTGTCATTTTATGGTTAGGCAAGGTGTAGTCTTAGGACATCTTATTTCTGGTGAGGGTATAGCTGTTGATAGTTGCAAGATTTATGTTATTGCTTCTTTACCTTACCTTACATGCGTGCGGGAAGTGCGTTCTTTTCTTGGTCATGCAGGTTTTTACAGGCGATTTATCCAAGATTTCAGTAAAATCGCCATTCCACTTTCCAAGCTGTTGCAGAAGGATATAGACTTCTAGTTTGATGACGAGTGCAGGAGAGCTTTTGATCAATTGAAGCAGCACCTAATTTCTACTCCTGTTCTTCAGTCACCAAACTGGGAGTATCCGTTTAAGCTCATGTGTGATGCATCAAACCTTGCAGATGGAGTTGTACTTTCCCATAGAATTGGAAAGATCCCTCATGTCATAGCATATGCTTTCCGGACTCTGGATTCTGCACAGGCTAACTACACCACTACAGAAAAAGAGCTTCTGGCTATCATTTTTGCTTTAGATAAATTTCGTGCTTATCTGTTAGGAACTAAAGTGACTATTTTCTTTGATCATGCAGCATTGAAGTTCCTATTGAAGAAGCCAGATGCTAAGCCCAGACTCATTAGGTGGATGTTGCTGTTGTAGGAGTTTGACATAGAGATCAAGGATAAGAGTGGAGCTGAGAACCTGGTGGTGGACCACTTGAGTTGGATTCCACAGAATTTGGAGCCTCTACCTATCCGTGAGAACTTTCCAGATGAGCAGCTTTTAGAGCTGCGAGGTAAGGACCCGTGGTATGCTGACTTGGTTAACTATCTAGTTGCCTCTGAATTGCCTGCTTATTTTAAAAAGCATCAGATAGAGAAACTTAGGAGTGAGGCTAAATATTATGTCTGGGATGATCCTTATTTGTAGCGCATGTGTAGTGATCAAATTATTAGGCGTTGTGTGCATGAGCTTGAGATTCCTTCCATTTTGCATTTTTGTCATACACTTGCTTGTGGTGGTCACTTTGGGCCACAACGCACTGCTAGGAAGGTCTTAGATGCAGGTTTTTACTGGCCCACATTGTTTCGAGATTCTTACACCTATTGTAAGAATTGTGAACAATGTCAGAAGACGGGTACTATCTCCCATAGAAATGAGATGCCTCAACAACCATTATTGTTTTGTGAGATATTTGATGTTTGGGTATTGATTTTATGGGTCTATTTCCTTTCTCATTTGGTTTTCTTTATATTTTGTTAGCTGTTGATTATGTCTCCAAGTGGGTGGAGGCCAAGGCCACCCGAACTGATGACTCTCATGTTGTTGTAGATTTTGTCAAATCACACATTCTTTGCAGGTTCGGAGTGCCCCGGGCAATCATCAGTGATCAAGGAAGCCATTTCTGTAACAGGAACATGGCAGCTCTACTGCAGAAATATGGTGTCACTCACAAGGTTTCAACTCCATACCATACGCAGACCAATGGACAGGCAAAGGTATCAAATAGGGAGCTGAAACATATTCTAGAGAAAATAGTTCAGACAAACAAGAAAGATTGGAGCAAGAGGCTTGAAGATGCACTATGGGCTTATGATGAAACAAATTTAGCTACTCGTCATGCAAAAGATTGTCGTTAATCCTCATCAAATATGCAAAGAAATAAATGCAGTACTAGGTGTTGTCCTAGGTCGTCTCCAAGGAATTTTTGGTTGGGAACATACATCGAACAAGTGTGAACATATATTTTAAAGCAAGTAAATTGGGGGGAGGTTTGACAATTTTCAGATTTTAATCAAGAGCAAAGTGTAAACTAGTGAAATTCAATCAATTAAAATGAGTAATTCCTAGTCAATCAATGAGTTCCATCATTATTCTTTCAAATGATTCAATAATCCCCTTTCTTTCCCTTGAATTAAGTTGATCTAACAAGTGAAAATTAACTTTAACATCCCAATTAAAATTAAGCATCTCAATGGGCTCCAATCTCTATCCCTAAGATTAAGCAACCTCAAGGATTAATCAAAATTAAGCAATTTTGAATTAGAATTTTGTTGGGTAATTTAGGGTTCATTAAGCAATGTTCTCTTCATGCAAATTCCATTTCATTCAAAGATTAGGGTCAATAAATTCAAGGAAAGAAAGATTTGTATTGCAATTAATCCCAAGAATTCAAGATTCATATGCATTGACTAGGAATTACAAGGAAGTTTAGCCTTTCATGTGGATGGGCTTCACAAATGAAAGAAAGAAATGCAAGAACATAAGTAACATTAATGTAAATTCAACCAAAATCAAAAGGGAAATTGCAAATTAAAACCTATAGAGGACCTTTGGCTGTCACTCAAGACTCCAATGTTCTGGAAAAATGTCTCAATTTGGCAAAGGAAAATTTTGTAAAGTGTAAAAGTCCCATACCCTAATTCCTAAATTCTATTTATAGTGGATGACATGTCAGCAAAGTGTCCACTTTTGCCTTTGAAAGTGTCCACGCGCAATTCTCGTAAATCTGTCAATTCTCGGGAGTTGCCACTATTGGTCTTGAAAGTGGGAACTTTGGATGCACGTAGCCACTTTGAAAGGCAATAGTGGCCACGCGCATCATGCTTCAAAATTGCCATCCCTGGAGCTTCTGGAGTTGCCACTTTTGGACTTGAAAGTGGGAACTTTGGATGCACGTAGCCACTTTGAAAGGCAATAGTGGCCACGCGCATCATGCTTCCAATTTAGCGTCCCTGGAGCTCTCTGGAGTTGCCACTTTTGGTCTTGAAAGTGGCTACTTTGGAACCTTTAATGCCCAGACTTGCTGTAGTTGCCACTTTTGCTCCTAAAAGTGGCTACTTTGGGGCCAACTTTCATCCAAGGGCCAAGATTTCTCAAAATTAACTTGGGAACTCTGCAAAATTATCAAGATAATTAAAATTGCAATTTATATCTATGTAATTAAATGCAAATTAACTAAAAATTAATAAACCTATGATATTTACTCAAAATGTGATTTCTATATTATTTTCACTATCTAAGTCCATTTTTTCTATTAAGGAGCACCAAAAAGGCAAGTAAAAATATAATAAAAAGTGGATTCATCACAACCCCAAACTTAAACTTTTGCTTGTCCTCAAGTAAATCAAAATTCAAGCAAATCAAATAAAGAGGGTTGCATTTATCCAATTTTTTTATTTTTTTTTTAGAGATTTTCATTTCAACTTCATGCTTTAATTAGCACTTCCAACATCTTCACAACCATAGACTCATTCAACAGAGGAATCATATTCATGTCAAATATTCCATGCAAAGTCCCACTAAATTGAAACAAAAGAATCAAGCAAGGTTTCATGTGACTCACATAATGCAAAGAAACTATCCATCTCACAAGGTGGTGTTTCACTCATCACTCAATAACATTTCAAGCCAAGTGTTTTCCCTCAATCCATGCATTTAGCCTCACCCTACCATAGGCTTGCCCATATTCTCAATCTCCTTTGCCTAGACACAATAAACCACCTATCATGAGGGCTTTGTTGGTCACAAATGGGGTTAGGATAGGCTCAAATTTAACCAAGGAGGGTGACAAGATCAAGTGGGTACTCAAGAGGAGGGAGTTCTTTTGAGTGATTTAGTGCAACAACTAGAGTGGAATGCCTTAAATGATGTAGCTTAAGAGGTTAAAGCATTCTTTCACCACATTAATTTTTTTATTTGCCTTATGTGGAGATCCTTTTTCAACTCAAATGCCTTGCTATATTTTTCTTTCTTTCTTTTCTCCTTTTTCATTCATTCATATTTTTGTGATATCAAGGACTTTGACAATCATTTTTTTTTTTTGACATGTATTATGAACATGTATGCTGTCCACCACCCCAAACTTAAGACATTGCTTGTCCTCAAGCAACTACAAGCATAATCAACACCCCAAACTTAGTTTCTTACACTCAATCTTGAGGCAACTCAAAAGAAATACCTCTATTAAGGAAAAGGAAATATATTTGTTGACTAAGTTTGGCAAAAGCAAGAAGTGGGGAACAGGGAAGTGAAGTGCAAGGGTGGGAGGAAAGGTATGTGCAAAGAAGGCCTCAATCATCTAGATGAAAAATTGCACAATGCATATTGAATTAAGAAACAGGGCAAGTTCTAGAGGATGAATGCAACAATACATATAATATGCACACAGAAAAAGAAGTAAGAGGCCCAATTCACTACCATGGTAAAAGTGATAATAACTTGCAAAATGAGAGCACAATTCACCCGACAAGAAAATATGTTCAAAATGGTAGGGACAATAAATATGTACAAAAATGAGAATGAGTAGGAGTTAGATGGGAAATTCAATCAGAGCATAAAAGCAAAATACGAAAGAGAACTAGATTAAAATGAAAAGAGAAGAAATGAAATAAGGAAAATATTTTTTTTATTATTATTATTATTAGTACTGTGCAGGAAAAGTAAGCTACAAATAAATGCAAAATAGAGACAAAGAGTTCACCCCCCTTTTATAGATGATGTACTCAAAATTCAGGGGAATCAAGTGCAGCAATAGCAAAATACCATGGAATTTGAGAAGCAAAACAACAAAATGGAGAGGTTAGAACACAATGTAAATGGACATGAACTGAATTTAGACATCAACATGCATGAATATGAAAAGGAATGGCGTAATGGGCATGTTTGAGAATATAAAAATAAAGGGAATGGGCATAACAAAATAGCAAATGAGATTCATAGCAAATGGAAATGGGCGTGGCCACTTTTGGGGACAAAAGTGGGAACATTGAACATAGTGGCAGCCAAACATGGTCATTGGGTGCAATTAAAGGACCTCACCCACTCTAATTCATACAAGAATGCTTAATTAAACAAGAAATTCACTTCAATTTCAACGTATAGGGACACAATTGAAAAGCCCCAAATTGGGGATCCAAGAACCCTAACCCATGAATTAAGAGAAGTTGAGAGATTTACCTTGCTTGGAGCTTTGGGTGTGGCGGCGGAAGTGAAAATGTGAGGATTGGGGTTGCAAAAACTCAATTTGGGAGGTGGAGGAGTGGTGTCGTGAGGTGCGTCGTGAAGTGAAGTGCTTGAGTGGGTGTTTGTGGGTGTGTGTAGTGAGTGACGTGAAGTGGGCGTTGTGACTTTGACAGATTTTAGGAGCTGCGCGTAGTGGGCTGGCCCAAAGTGTGGTGCGCGTGGCCACTTTCAAGTGAGAAAGTGGCAACTACAGTGAGGTTGTGTGTGTGGGCATATCCGCGTGGTTACTTTGGGGCTTCAAAGTGGGAACTCCAGTGGGTTATTTTGTGGGACAAGTATGCATGGCCACTTTCAAGTGAGAAAGTGGCAACTACAGTAAGCCAAAATTCAAAGTGAATTTGTGCGTGGTTACTATGGGGCTTCAAAGTGGGAACTTAAGAGGGTTCCTCTTTGTGAGCATATGCGCGTGGCCACTTTCAAGTGAGAAATTTGGAACTCCAGAGAGGCTACAATGCAAGGAGATTTGTGCGTGGCTACTATTGGTCTCTAAAGTGTCCACGTGCAAATGATCGAGCTCCTGGGCGCCAAAGTGGGCACTCCCACTCTTAAAAGTGGGAACTACAGAGAAGGAATTGTTTAGCTTGAGCCAAAGTAGTCATTAGAGCCTATGAGAGTGGCCACTTTCATGAAAAACAAATTGTACCAAGCATGAATGAGTACCCAAAGTTATTGCTGCTGCCACAATCCCTGCAAAAATCCTGAGTCCACAGAAAATTATTTACACAAAATTGAATTATATTAGAAATCTATCTACAAATGAAAACAAATAAGAACAAAAACTCAATTGAAAGAATGCAAAGGGAAAGAACAACATTCGTTATTCACGTGTGAGTTGCCTCTCACAGAGCACTTCTTTAACGTCACTAGCTTGACATGCAAAGTGATTTACTCATGACAGGGGTCTTGGTTGAAGGAATTGATGGGGGAGTACACATCCACCTCTTCAATCTCCTCCAAGGGAACTGAGTTCTCTAAAAAATGCTTCAGGCGATGTCCATTCACTGTGAAACATTTGTTAGTGGAGTCACTCTTGATTTCCACTGCACCATTAGGAAACACTTATGTGACTATAAATGGACCAATCCACCTAGAATGCAGCCTTCCAGTCATGAACTTGAGACATGAGTTGAATAGAAGCATCTTTTGACCTACACAGGACTCTCCTCTACCTATCAATTTATCATGATACTGCTTGGTTCTCTCCTTGTAGGTTCTTGAGTCTTCATATGCTCCTAAGTGCAGCGCTTCTAGTTCTTGGAGTTGTGGCTTCCTTTTCCTCTTCCTCTTCCTCTTTCTTTTCCTCTGAAGCTGCTTCACTGGTTTAGTCCCCTCTTTCAACAGAATTTTGTGCATGCACAAGAGAGGGCTAATACCAGGAATGTCAGCTAAAGTCCATCCAATAGCTCTCTTGTGCCTTTTAATTACTTCCAACAATATCTCCTCTTGATCGCCTTCAAGCTTGGTGGAAATAATGACCGGGAGCTTTTCATAATGTTCTGGTAAGGGCTTCAACTCCAATGTGGGAGGTTGCTCCACAGGAAGAAGTGATTTGGCACTTTCATTTGACAAAGTCTTTGCAATATGCAAACCAAAGGTG